TCAAATTCATCTGAGAAGGGGCTAGGTCCAGTTCTTCAAGATAAGGGTTTTTTTGCACACCTCTGAGCAAATATACTGATATGTGAGTGTTACTTTAGAGAGGAAACAAATCACATTTTGGTTTGCTGAGTTGTCTGCATGAATTTTCTGGGGAAACTCGACAGAAGTGTCAAACCAACTCTTGTGCTTGAAAGGACTTGATACAGCAGGTCAATGTCCTCTGCTGATATCTCTAAAAGAACATTTTATAGGCTGCTATCAAGTGTGTGCAGTTTGTGAAACACTCTCCCCTTACAGTGGCATAGGGTTTTGTTGGGATATAGTTGACAAGTCAGAAGACCACACATGCAGGGATGTATCTGGGTCACATCCCTCTATATGAGGCACAGAAGATGGTTCTCAGACTGGTAAGGGAGAGTGTGTTACAGCAGTTTCGTGTTACATCTGTTTGACATTGTGGTTGTTGAACAGCTTAAGTGGTTTACAAAAATAATTTTTTAAAATACGTGTACTACATCTTTATTTGGAAAACTTTTTTAAAAAGATCAGTTGGGAAGTCAATTTGCTTGCAGGTATACCAGAGGACAGAGCTGGGATGTACTCACCCTAACCCCCTTCCGTGCAAGTTCCTGGGTTTATTTTGCTGGGCAGGAGAAAGTTATATTTCAGCGTTGCATAGCACAGCATCAGACAACTTGGAAGTCTCCCTCATGAACAATACAGATTTAACAAAAGTATAAATCAATTTCTTTTGGCTTTTTTTTTGAGTTGTTTTTACAACTTCAGAGAAGGTTGAAAGTCAAGCCGTTATTAGTAGTTTTGGTTTTGTTTTTAAACCATCAATATGAGATGTTTTCCAGCATCGAGCACATCATGGCTGAAGGTAAAATGTTCCCTTGAACAGGCTGTTCATTTCCTTATCGACCGGCACTGCTGAAAAGCTGATGATCCAGTTCATGCATTCCAGCTTCATCACTCTTTAAGTGAGGGAATGACAGAATACCATGCTTTCAGTTTGTAAAAACATATACTCCCTGCCAGTGGGGTTTGCTCGGGGTGTTTGGATAAAACAGAGTTTTCACTTTCAGCTTTAAGACACAGAATTTTCATTTTTAGCATTAAAACTTTAGTGTTGAAGCAAGTTATCCTCCTGGAGGAATTGCACCCACTGTAAAATCAGTCATCTGATGCATTCTGGCTGCCTGCACATCCACTCTGTAATATCTATAAAGAAAACCTTAGAAATAGCAATACTGCAGCAGATCTTGAGCTTTGGGTTTTATTTCTCTTGAGCTGGCACTGGATCTATGGTTTTCACTTCATTTTGTGACCTGATGAAGTAATCAGCTTCGCAGTCCAAGCCAGGCTCTGGCCTAGTTGTCCTTTTAATCAGACATCATTGACACAGTCGGATGGTTGTATTTTGGCTACTTGTTTAGTAGTGTTAGAATTGCAGAGATCACCACTAGGCTTTGAAGCTTTGTATTCATCATTTAAGTTTGGGGTTTGTTTTTAATTTAGTTAAGAATGGAGTAGGGGATGTGCCTATCTACACTAGGGTTTCAAGATAGCAATGAGGGTGAGTGTGGCTCGCCATCCCCATTAGACATAGTGATTAAAAAAATGAATTGTGCTTCGTAGATGAGCAAAATAGTTAATGTGTGTGTGGAAGTTGAAAGCTTTACATCTTTGAAAAACAAGAACAAACCTAAAAACAAAACCCCACCAGGCCCGCACCAGATTTTGTTCTTGCTTGTTGTTTCCTGTGTGCTAATTGAACAAAATCTGGGTTTCTTCAAGAGCTGTGAAGTTCTGGAGTACAAAAATACACTGTTCGGTATCTGGAAACTGCCCATGTTACGTATCTGATGTTCTGTGCAGAGTAAAAGGCGCTGTGTGAAGAAATGATTTTGCAGTGGATTTTGTCTCAACAGTCCCATGCCCATCCGTAGCCAGCACAGAGGGACATCACAGTCTGGTGGGCTGTGCAGACTAGCGTGTGCCTCTGCTGGACAAAGTTGTGTGTGCGTGTGTGTGTGTGTGTGTGTGTGTGTGTGTCTCTCGTGGCTCAGAACATGGTGAGGATCTTCCCATCAGTGTCTGTTACCCATGGAAAAGCTGGCGGTGGTTGAGCTGCTGCTGACACTGTTTGGTTTGCAGTAGGGTTGCTGCTGCTTTAGCTGAGGGAGTTGATGTAAGAGCTCCTAGTTCCAGAAATAGGATTTGGCAGGGTGCCTTGTCCTGAGCAGGGCTGTCCCCTGGTGATGGGATGCTTGTTTGCAGCACCACATCACCAACAGAGGCATGATAGAAGCGAGGATGCAGGAAGGTGCTGGGCTAAGCCAGGTTTGGGAGCCTGGCACCTCTCAGTGGCTCCAGGCAGAGCCATTCCCTGTGGGATTAATGTGGTGCCTTGCAGAGGGGATGGTGCTTGTCCTGAGCTGGTGCCTTTTACCCTTAGAGGAGTGCTTTGAAACAGCTGTGATAGGGCCTCAGTGAGCAGACAGAGCGGCGCTTCACCGAGTCTGAAGCAGGAGGTTCTGGCTCTCCAGGGCTGAGGTTGTATCCATGACACAGGGTGGCATTGCAGTCTGAACGCTGTCAGCAAAACTTGTCAGAATTAAAACCAGAGTACAGCATCTCAGTGTGGTACATCTTTCTTTCTCTTCCTTACTTCTCTCCACCAATCTTTGATCCCAGCTCCGTGAAAACTGCTGTAGACTGTTGTACTGGTTTGCTAGTTTTCCAGCCACTACTGATCTGTAGTCAAGGAATCAGGATCGTTTTTTCTAACCTGTTTTGAGTGTTTGCAAGTGATATGATCAAATCCCACCGTGTTGTGTAGCAGGAATTTCCTTACCTGCAAACTCTTCTACCAATTTTTTTTCCGAAGATGGGGAAAAAGAAATGGTTCCAAGCTCAAAGTAGGCAGATGAGTTTTGAATATTGGGATTGTTCTCAGAAGCAGAAAGTCAGGGAGCGTGTGAATTTATTCTTAAAGGAATTTCACCATTCCCATACTTCCTGACCCTAGAAAATCTAACTGATATCAAAAAGGATGTGTGCCTGGTGTGTGTTTCAGTCATTTCAAGCTAAGCTGACACACTTCTGGGTAGGACAGGGGGGAGTGCAGATTCAGTTTAGCCCTGGGTACCAACTGATGTGGGAATCTATGGACTGGAACCTGCTGGTGGTCAGAGGTGCTTTGGAAACAGGGGAGAGCTGCAACCTGTGGGGGTTGGGGCAGTGCTTGTGAGCACTGCTGAAGGAAAGTGAGTGAGTCAGCAGGGAGCAAGAGGAGCCCATGCACTGCGGTGAAATGAACGCATGCGCCCATCAGGCTGTATTAGCAGACTGGTTTTGATCTATCTAGTTCTGTCATACCGAGCCTATTGGTGGCAATTCTTAGTGTTGGTTCCATTGTGCTGATGACTAATGTAGTTTGATTAGAGTAACTGTATTACAAGGTAATTTTGGCACTGTTTCTTCTTAACATCTGTGGAACTTGCTTCAGCTTTGGAAATCGAAGTGGGGATTTCTGTGCCACAGTCCCGTGAGCTTGTGCACCTCCATTTCTGATCGCTTGCTCTGCCACCCCAAACAGCAATGTATCTGGGGTTGAGTTTTTAGACTTTTATATAACTTTGTCTTCACAGCTAGTCCTTTGTTCCTCTCTTGGTGGCTGACCACCTGGAGCTGGGATAGCATTTATTTATTTCTTCCTTTACCCTCTCTGTAAAAGAAGATGATGGGCAGGTTCTCAGCCTGTCTACATGGTGGACTTTAGGTAACGTTGTAACAACCAAGTTTGATCTATAAATGTGCTTGACTAAATGTCTGATCTGCAATACTTGTAATAGTTTAAAACTCAATAAATACATTTTTAACAGTTGCTCTGTAAAAGCTGAGTGTTTGCTCCACCTGTTGTTAGGAGGAAAGGCTGTGGATGCCCCATCCCTGGTGGTGCTCAAGATTAGGTTGGATGGGGCACTGGGCAGCCTGATGTGACAGGGGGACAACCAGCTCACAGGAGAGGGCTGAAATTAGGTGGGCTTTCAGTTTCCTTCCAACCCAAGCCATCCTGTGATTCTCTGAGCCCCCAGACAAACCTGATCTCAGCCACAGCTGTTGAAAAGTGTTTTATTATTATTTTCTCCAAACAATTTTTCTCCCTTGGGCAATAAATAAAAAGTTGATTTCTAAAAAAAAAAAAAATAATAATAATAAAAGGAACAAAACCATACATATGTACATCAGCCACACAGGCATTTTGTATTGGTGTGGGCTGGGAAGATGGAGAGTGGTAAAGCTACACAGAGATTGGGGATGAAGCATTTTCTGGGCTTGAGCCTAAGGCTGCAGTGCAGGTACCTGGGTGTGTGGGACCTTGCAGCCCAGTGCAGGTTGCTGAATGCTTGGCAGAGCTCAGGCTGTGGCAGATGCTGGTCCTGGAGTGCAGAAAGTGAGATGGAGGACACCTCTGCACCTCTTCTTCCCCCTCTGCTTCTCTCCACATCACAGTCCAGCCCTGTCCTACACTGCTTCTTTGGGAAGAGCAGCCATAGGATGGTAGGGAGGAAACAGGTCAAGAGTAATCAGCAGCCTCTATTGCTGTCCTTACCCCTTCTTTCTCTTCTTTAAACTACAGGTTTGACACAAGTTTTATGGGAACTGGGGAGACTTAAAGACACAGGTACATATACACACACACACACACAAGCGTCACTTAGGATTGCATCTCTCCATCCATGCTGCCTCCCAGCCAGAGGCTGCTGTCCCCCAGAAGCCAGCACAGCAGGTGACCTGAAGCTCCCTGCAATCACCCTGAGGCCCTATTGCAGCATTGCTGGTCACTGTGCCTGGCTCAGGTACGCAGCACATACCGCACTCACCAATGTCCCTCTGTGCAAAGGGGGGGGAAAGTGCTGTGCAACAGAAATAGCTTATGCTCCCTTTTCAACCCAAGTCAACACCCACATGAACTGGGAGCAGAAACAGGATGGAAAGGGAGGGGTTTTTTTTGTTGTTGTTTTTTTTTCTTCCTGAAAAACAAGGTAATAAAGTAGAGATGGGAAGAGATGCAGACCAGGCACTTCAGGAAACCCGGTACACTATTTTTTCCTCCCCCAAAACAGAGCCTGGACAACATCAAGGTTTGTGGTTTTCACAACATAAAAAGCAAAAAAAAAAAAGAGTACGAGATGAGGTAAGAAATTGCTCTATGAAAAAGACATTGAGTCCAGGGTCAATGGCAGTGTCCGGCACTATTGCTTAACATCCCGGGGCTCTGTGCCCCTCTGTGCTACCTGCCTGGCTGGCCTTAGCCCCAAGCTAACAGCTGGGTGACGTGGTAATGGGGCTGTGCAGGTATGGGAGGCTGCTGGGGGTGGCATGGACACCAACGGAGACGGGGAAGCTGAAGACAAACTGGGAGGTAGGGGTAGAAGTGGTCTTGCCCCGCTCCCGCAGTGTCCCTGAGGGGCTGGCAGCTTCCACTGCGCATGAGGTGGCCAAGACCTGCGATTCGAACTGCAGCAGCTGCCCCATGAAACTGAAGTTAGGAGAGATGATGCTCCGGCGCTGCTTGACAAACTCAAAGGCCTCTTCCAGCTTGACGCGCTTCTTCATCATCAGGTAGGCCAGGCAGATGGTAGCTGAGCGGGAGATGCCAGCCTGGCAGTGGACAAGGACTCGGCCACAGCACTCTTTCACCGAGTCTGGAGGGCAACAGAGAGCGACACGTGAGACCTGCACCCTTCCAACGAGGCCCAGCCCCTGGCCAACCCGCCACATGATGGCTGACATCACACCCACACTTGGAAGGGACCTCAGAGTCTGCCTGCGCCCAACCCCCTGCCATGGGCTGGTTGCCACCCACCACATCAGGCAGCCCAGGGCTCATCTGACCTGGCCTTGAGCACCTCCAGGGATGGAGCCTAAAGCTCCAGTCCTTGGGACCTACCTCGTGGCCTCCTCTGGCTGCATGCAAACCACAGCCTGGCTTCTCTAAATGGGCACTTACCGATGTACTCAATTGCCTCCATGAACCAGGAGCTTATGTCAGCTTTGTGGTTGTCTTCCACAGGGATGCACTTATACTGGTAGTGCCCCTCGAAGTGGTTGGGGCAGTCAGATGAGACGTTCAGCAGGGCTGTGATGCCCAGTGCATCCAGCATGTCCCGTCGTGCCGCATGGTAGGCGCTGCCAAGGTAGAGGAAGGGAAGGATTTCCACAGGGCCACCCTGTGATGGAGAAAAAACAGATTATGAGCACAGAACTGGATAACTTTACAGGCCCAAGGAAGACTTGAGGAGGGGCAGCAGGAAGGCCGTGTTGCAATGTGGACGTACCTGGTCATGAAGGGGGGTCCCACATGAACTGAAGCCCAAATCCAGGGACTCGGCGCTGCTGGGGGGCGAAACGCTGGTTGGGGTCTTGGTTTTAGCACAGAATTCAGGATACTCTGAGGCAAAACGCTCGTAACCTCCTGTAAAAAGCGAGGCCCAGAGGAGTGTTACAGCCATGCTCACAGTGCTGCAGGACAGCAGGAGTCAATGTATTCTGAGTGCCCTTGGCCACTAGATGATGCTACAGGGATGGAGAGCAGCCTGCTGCCCTGAGGAGAGCAACCAGGCTCCTGGCAGCAAGCAGGGAGCCCCTGGGCTGGGCCATTCCCATGGGCCTCAGCTCTCCAATGCTTCTAACTGCCCGAAGAAGCCTCTGCTCTAGGACACAGCCAGCCAAAACCTAAGGGTTGATGCCAAGGTTGTAGAGGAGAGAGGGTTTGTTGCCAGTGACCTGGAACTCCAATGCCCTCCTGCACCACATATTATTCAATTCTCTACTTTCTCAGATACAAAATGCAGAGAGGTTCCCTCAATCCCAGCGCCTACAGCCCAAAAGGCAGGAGGCCGTAGAAGTTAACCCACAGTAAAGCCAGTCTGTAGAGAGCTGTCCCTGCCTCCCAAGGACACAGGGTGGGCTGAACAGAGAGGTGAGTGCCTGTGGAAGAGCTGCTCGCTGCTTTGAGCAGCTGCCAAGGAGATATTGGAGGTGACCTTGTGCCTCCCCACGAGGAAGATCCAACAGAGCTGCCACCTGTTGACTTCCCAGGACAGCAGATAAACACCTCTGGGCAAATTTCCTGTCCTCACGCAAATCAAATCAACAAGGCTGAAATCCTTGTTGGCTGATGTAGAACCTTACAGCCAACAGAAGTCAGGGATTTCAATGCTGCCATGAATCTAGCCAGATGGAGCCCTGTCTCCCAGGAGAGCTGCTGAAGATTCATCCCAAGTGCAGGACTGCTGCTCACCAACCTGAACCTGGCAGAGCACACGCTGCAGGACACATTCCTTATACCAGCTGTAGCTCTAAGTTGACACAGAACAATGTTGGATGTTCCCAAGAGCAATGGAAATGACAACTCTGGCTCTCAAGTGGATGCAAGCTTATCCGACAAAGCACCTCAGGAGCCCCTCAGCAACGTCCTTTATGGTTTTCTTCCCTTCCACAGGGAAAGATTCCAGCCCCTTCTGCATGAAAATGTACACACCGGTAAATGTGCATCACTTCTCTCACATAAGAAGGTCAGTTTGCAGAGGCTGCATTTCCAGAACCTGAAAGCCCTTTGCAGTCCTGCAACCAGCCTACAGCAGCAGATTGGAAACTCTAGGATCCCCTCCAACCCAAGCTGTTCTATGATTCTATAAGATGGAAAAGCTGCCCAGGGTCGTGTAGAAAAATGAGCTTCCTCCTGGGAAAAGCAAAGGGACCCTTCCAACAGGGAAGATTTCTCTTCAGTGCTCCTCATCAGACTGAAGGGCCGTTTAGCAAAGTGCTACCCAATAAATTTGCCTTTGGACACATGCAGTGCCAGATTTGTGCAACTCTTAGAAAACTGGAGCAAGCAGGATCTTTTTAGCATTTCTGTGGTAAGCAAGCAGGAGGCTTCTAGGGTTAGGCTGAGACTCTAAGGGCCCATACCTCAAAATAACTGAGATCTCACTCTTAGAAATAAGGAATTACTAACCCCAAACAACCCTGCTTGAGAACCACAGGGGCATCATAGAACCACAGAATAGCTTAGGTTGCAAGGGACCTCAGAGCCCATCCAGTTCTAACACCCTGCCATGGGCTGGTTGCCACTCTCTGGGTCAGGCTGCCCAGGACCCTCCCAAGCGCTTTCAGCTCCCAGCAAAGCGATAACTCATGGCTGAACACCCAAAGCAGGTTCTCAGTGAGCCCTCACTGTGCTCCTGCTCCATCCATCAAAACCTCCTAATGGTTTGCTGCTCTGCGCACATGCGTTCTCACCGCTGCTGTGAGTAAACCATGACACAGACTCACTCTTAGGGAGTCAGAATCAAACCACTGAGCACCCTTTCTTCTACAGAGCCTCACAAGGATCCTCCAGCCCAGCAGCCCTGGTTGCTCACAGCTTCCCATGCAAAGAGCACGGAAGAATAGAATCATTAAGGTTAGAAAGATATCTAAGATCGTCCAGTCCAACCCCCAGCCCATTCCCACCATGCTCATGGACCGCGTTCCTCAGTACCACATCTCCGCGTTTCTTGAACACCTCCAGGGACGGTGACCGCACCACCTCCCTGGGCAGCCAGTGCCAATGCGTCACCACTCCTCGGAAGAAGGAATTTCTCCTAACACCCACCCTGACCCTCAGCACCGACTCTCGCCGCAGAAGCACCGGGCCTCCCGAGGCCTTCCCCACGGCGAGGGGACGCGGCAAAGCGTCCGTTTGGTCCCGGGGACAGAGCCGCACGAGGTGGGGGCGGCTTCCCCCTCCGCGCCGATCCCCTCGTTCGCTCCCCTCCCCGTTTACCTGCCAGCAGCCGGATGTCGGCGCGCGCCATGTCGCGCCGGAGCGCGCGCAGCACGAGGGCCACGGTGCTGTCGTCCCGCAGGGCCTCCGCGCGTGGGCTGCGCTCGTCGTACAGCACCACGGCGGTGTAGAGCCCGGCGCGCAGCCGAGCCCGCACCTCGCCCTCGGCCGGCAGGATCTGCTCCAGGCTGACCGCCCCCTTGGCCCGCCGCCTCACGATGGTGTTGCAGCGCACGTTGAGAGCCCCGCGGATGTGGCCGGCGCTGTGCGCCAGGAAGGGTCGGCAGTCCAGCAGCAGGCAGCGTCCGCCGCTCGCCTCCTCCCGTCCTACTAGACGCCGCAGCGCGCTGCCCTCCATCTCCCGCAGCCCCTCCGGGGCCACCATGACGGGGCCGCCTTTCCCCGCTCCGCGCTCCGGCCGCCGCTCGCAGCTCCGCGCCGCCCAACCTTTACTACCCCGCCGCGCCGCCCCGCCCCTCCGGCTCGCGCCGCGGGTATGAATGGAGGGAAGGCGGCGCGCGGGTGCGGCCGACGTCACCGCCTCCATTCACAAAAAAAGGGCTCGCCGCCGGCCCGCCATCTTCGCTGCGTTTTTTGTGAATGGGGAAAGGCGGTGGGAGGGCGGGCGTTGCGGGGAGCCGCGCTGGGAGCGGGAGGCGGGCCCGGTTTGCAAGGGGGTCACCCCATGGGTCCCCCCACCTCGATGGGTCACTCTCACGTGGCGCGCGCACACACACGCACCAACCAGCCTCCTCAGGGCACGCGCTCACGCTCGTGCGCCTTCTCCCTTTGTCCGTTGGCGCGTGTTGCTCTCAGGCACGATTCCCGCTGAAGGCTCCTCCTGAGCACACCGCTGCCGCCAGCGTGCTTCCCTCCACCCCCTTCAGAAAGTGCCGGTGAAAGAGCAGTCGTCCAGGAAAAGCAGCTGTGAGGACTCTCAGGTTCCATTTCCCTTATGGGGGAGCCCTACTGTAGGGAAAAAGAAGCAGATTTCCAGCGCTGAGGTGACCCTAAGGGGATCTCCCAAGCACCGCGCAGCCATTTTGCTCTCAGTACCCCTTTGAGGCTGCTCACCCCACAAAGCAATGCTCCAAAACCCAATGTGGGGCACTTCCTGAAAGGAGACACTACCAGGCCACGGCAGTTTGCTCCAGAGTCTGCTCCATGTGCTGATACACAGCCTTAGAAATGGGGTGAGCCAGATGAAGGGCCTGCAGTTTCTCCAAGCCCATCTGCCCCGGTCCATAGAGGGCAGCACCCAGACAGGGGCAGCCTGCTCCTCCTCAGCGTGCCAGTGACTGTTTATTAGGGCAGGGCAGATGACACCATGCTGTGCATCCCTAGCTGGGGTGAACCTAGCCTACTGCACGTGTTGGAAGCTTCAAACTGGTACCAACCCCATGGCCTGGTGCTGCCTCTTACTTACAGTGTGTCCTCTGCCAGGCTTCCCCCTCTGTGTGTGCCCTCCCATGGCTCTCAGGTGCTGTGTCAGCCCTTTTGCAGTAAGCTGCCCCAATCCATTGGAGCCTGCTATCTAATAGAGCAGGGATGGGAGCTCAGTTTGTTCCTGTTCCAACCTGCATCAGACACATGGAAAGAAGAAACCTCTTCCTACCGACACTTCAGCAGGCATTCTTCTTTATACTAACATTGCCTAAGTAAGGGCACAGAGCAGATGTCCTCGGAGCCAGAGCCTGACATCCCATGCAGCTGAGCCCAACTCTGAGAGGGAAAGGGAGCGTTGGTACAGGAGGGGGGAATTGGGACTGTCCATCTCTGGATGTTCAGGTGAGCATCAATGGAAGGTACTGTTTCAGAACAGAGCAATGATATGTGTGCATGTGCATGGATGTCTGATGGAGATCCACCGTCGCAGGGATCTCCCTTGGCGCAATTAGCTTGAGAGGAAATCTAGTTAATTAATTTTGTCTGTAGAGGCACTGCAGTGAGACGAGCAAGAACCATCAGAAAAGCTTGCAAGGCAGAAACCACGGTAAAAGAGAAGGAATGCAATTACCTGAGGAAAGGGGAAGGGAGGGCTTGGGGAAAGGGGGAGGGAGGGAGGGGAAATGTCCGTACAGCTTCATTTCCTGACTTTGCAACCTTGGAGGAGTGTGAAAGCTCATATTCCTAGTGAGGGACATCCATATGGTGCAAACTGAAACATACCCTGCTGGAAAACAATGAGAGATGGGGAAAGAGGGGAGAGAGAAAAGGAGGAGGGAGTAAAGAGAAGGGAGAGGAGAGAGGGAAAAGGGGAGGGATTCCTTCATTTCCTTCCCAGCAGATTCAAAGAATCACCTTTTACAGGGCCCCAGCCAGAAGGGACTGTGGAAGGAGGCTCAAGGGAAATGAGTTGTCAAAGAGACATATATTTGGATGATTAAATGTCAATATGTACCTCGAATTAAGGATGAGGAATTTACACCTTGTCTCACCATGCCAGCAGAAAACAAATTAGAGGCAGGCTGTAAATTTGCCAGCCAATTGATACCGATTTGTTTGGCTTTCTCAGCGCTTTTCCTGCTCAGAGAGATGCAGAGATGTGATTCCCCAGGTGGCCCCAGGCTCCATGGCTCTCCCCAGGCTCCTGAGCCTGTGGGGTCCTGGAGCCTGCTACTTCATGCCCCATGTCTCAACTCCCTTTGGTCCTCATGCAGCACTGTGCTGTGCTCATTTCAGGCCATCTCTCTTTCCTGCAACTTTTCCAGGTGGGGAAATCTTCCTCCCATCAGCAAAGGGCAGTGCAGCAGTGGAAGGGTTAATGGAGTCATGTTCATAAATCCATGCACTCTTTTTCTTTAGGGCATATTTGCATATTAATGGAGGGGAATTGTAATGAACCTGTCTAGGGAGGCTAAAGGGAAAATGATGCAAGGTTGGACACGGAGGTGGAGGAGGGGATAATTCTCAGTTCCAGTGCTTTCCTCTCTCTCAGCTGCGAAAGAACCAAGCTGCCTGAGCCTTGCTGCCAGTGGGATAACCTAGGTCTGAGGGAGCACCTGAGCACAGATCACCATGCGGCCCCACTTGCGCCCCTCTGTGCTGGCACTGGGTGGACCTGCCCAGCCCAGGTTGTGCCTGCTGCATGGCCCTGCTGTTATTGAAACGCAGATCTGCAGATGTCACAAATCATCCCCCCTCCTCCTATCCCTTCTCCTCCACACTGAGCTGCAAAGAGCTGCTTGAAGTACCATGACCTTTGTTGCTTCAGCCCCCAAGTAACAGCCCTAAAACCTCTGACAGCACTTGGAAAACATCAGGTCTGCTTTCTCTGCTCTCTGTCAATGCTGATGTTTATAATCCCCACTCCAGCAAACTGCCCTACAAACAATACCTCAGGAAGAACAAGCACCCTCAAGTTTGCCCTGCAATAGCTGATGGAGGGTTTATATTCACAGAGAAATCAGCTGTAAATCAAGCAGGGAGGAGATGAATTGCTGTGTTCCTGATCTGATATAGATGAGGAGATCGACAAAGCAGCATTCATGGCTGAGAGCAAAGGAACCCTTCCTACAGCAGTGGGGTTTGCAGCTGGTTTGTGCCCATGCAAATCTGATCAGGGCAGGACACACTCAAATGAGCTGGATGCAAAGTGGCCCAGGCCATTTTCTGCTTCAGGTTTGGTTTCCTCTCTCCCTTGCTGCCTTTTGCTGCTGCCTCCTCCCTTCCTGCCAAAGTCCATGCAGCTCAAAGCAGTGAGAAAATGCAAGCTGAAAGCCAGGAGGGTCTGTGAATGTGAGCAGGGTGTGAAGAAGATATAGCTTCTTCTGGGTGATTAGATTGGGCTCTTAATTAGAGCTGGGTGGGAGAGGGTCTGCCTCCACAAGCCCCTGTGCTTTTTCTTTGGTGAAGAGGTGCTGGGGGATCCAACTGCAGCGCTGAGAGGTTAGCATGGGTTATAAAACAGATGTATAAGCGAGGTGGAGAGAACAAGCGCAAGGGATCTTAATCCCAAAATTCCAAGTGCTTGCTGTGGGGATTAAACTCGTATTTTTGGCTGCTGAATTCGGCAGCACAGCAGAGCTAGGGGAGTGAATGCCTGGAAGCAGTTTGATGCCCTCCTCCTCAGTGCAAGGGATCAGCTTTGGGAGTTATTCAGGTGGAAGTCAGGAAGGCACGTGGTGCTTTAACCCAACCTGTGGTATTTTGCCTTTAGCACACATTCATCCCACGTGGTGGAGAACCCAGGGGCTGCTGCAGAAAGCTCCCTGGCCCCAGTGCAGTGTTTCATCACAGGCATGCAGATCCCTGCAGATCGCTCCTTTGGGGACAGTGCTGTTTGTAAACTGAAAGAGAAATGCCTTACTGGAACCTCTCGGTGTTTTGTTAAGCATTGTGCCTCTGTGATAGGATTGAAGCTGGGCTTTGAATGATGCTTTTTGCTGAGAAGAAAGCATTAGGGAAGAGACATTTTTCCCATGGGCTTAAGATTATGAATAAGACAGTGTTATATAAGTGTGACTATAACCTATTTATACATTGTGTCAGGCGCACAGGCAGACTATGAATGACAAATCCTCCCCTAATTTCTATGAATATAACAGCAGTCTGTAGCTGAGCTGTGGAACAGCATTGACCATGCATGTCATTCCGTGCCATTGAGAACTGGGACTGCTCTCTGTACTGTCCAGAGGGGCAGTGGGTTTGGTGTCTGGCAGTGTCACACAGATACATGGGGTGAACCCACCCTGGTTCTTTGGCCAAGATGGCAGGCACAAGGCTAACAGAATTATTAAATAAGATGCAAGAGGAGAAGCCCTGGGGTTCTGGTGGTCCTCTGTGCCTCACTCCTTCCCCACAACATGAGTGCTCTCAGCTCCTACAAATCCAGGGGGGATTCACAGCTCTGGTCTGTCACACTTCACTGTTCCAGCAAGATGTTCTGCTAAATTATGCCTTTAGTAGGTGTCCTAGCCAGTTGAACAGCACTGGGAGCCCTAAAGGGCACTTGAAATCCAGCCATGTTATAGGGCTGCAAAAAGCCCACCCAAACTGATTACCTGCCTGTGAGTGCAGCCAGCAGCAGGCACCATGGGTGAATCTTCTGGCCTGTGCCATTTGTGCCTGAGGGCTTCCTGAGCCAATCCTAGGATCTTCACCCCTAATAGCCTGTGAGAGATTTTTCCTCCATGAATAGACCCAGCTGCTTTTTAAACTCATGCAAATGTTCAGCTTCCCCAGCATCCTGCAGCAAGGAGTTCCAATGCTTCGTTGGGCAAGAGCCACTTCCTTGGGTTCACTTTGAACTTGCCACTTCCTTGCCTTTCTGCTCCTCCTTGTTTCTGTCCTGGAAGTGACAAATCACTTCAAACTCCTGTCCCTCCAGCAATTGGAGAGGAGAGGAGAGGAAAGGAGAGGAGAGGAGAGGAGAGGAGAGGAGAGGAGAGGAGAGGAGAGGAGAGGAGAG